AACCAAAAAAAAAAATGACATTATTTTGGCATTTTTCACTTTAAATTTGACAACAAAATGATTGGTTGCCCTCCAACGTGACGTCATACCAAAATGGTCATTTATTCGTTTAGTCGAATTGACGTCATTCGTTAGTTATAATTTAGACAGATGAACGATATGTCAAATATCATTTTGTCATCTACTGCAACTGTCAAAGTTATAATTTCAATCTGGAAATCAATCGCCTACTTTTCAATATTGGTGACCACATGGACGATTGGTTAGATATAGATAAAATGTTGTATGTTACCTTAAAATATTACTTCTCCTGTATTACCGACCCAATATTGTCAGTCCTTTTAGCAGTGCAAAAGTATTACAGAGTTCTGTATTACCGACCCCAATGTTATTCAAAGGCCTGCTTAATTAAACAAGCGACGTTGTCGCATGATAGAAATAATCTCGAAAGATTTGAAAATATCATCATTTTAAATAGGATTTTGGTCCCAAAACTCTCACTGGCAATTGACGTTTGTTTAATCATTCCGCCTACAATATCGCTATCTCACTTGTTTGAGTTCACTGACCAATCGAATAAAATGAAATGTCGTACGTCATGTGACAACAAGAGCCGGGAATAATCAAAATTTGCAAGTTTTGAATAAAATTTTGTACGCAACCTGTAATACCGACATCCATCCAAAGCCTACTTGATTTAATCATCGTTGACAATATTAATAACTATTTTTTTTTGACACTTGACAGGACAAGTGATGCTTAATGTGCCACTGTTCGGTAATTTATTGGTAAAGTTTGTCAACCGGTTGAATTTGTCATTTGTCAACTAATGACATAAATAAAACGGTTGACAAATGAATCAATATCATATTGTTTTTGATTGGTAGAATTAGTGCAAAAGAAAATCTTGTTTCTTTTTAGCAGGATGAGAAAAAGAAATGGAAATACACTCGGTGCGCAAAAAAAAATATATCTACCAATCGGAAAGGGTAGTATACGTTGACAATTGACAAATGACGTTTCGCATTCGTATATTTCGCCTATACTACCGGACAATAAATTTCCCGCTTCAAGTAATAGAATAAATGACATCTGACACATGGTTCGTCTCTGTCAAACAAATAATTGTGACCAACCAATGTCGTCATCAATTGACTGTGTTATCGAACGACATTTGACACAGCTGGAATCTATGACGTCATCAAATTACGTGTCAAATTCAAGCAACGACATCGAAACAAAAAATAAGTAGACGATTAATTTCAAAATTGACATTAATAGTAGTTGCAGCGGGTGACAGATGACATTTGACGTCTAAAATAATAAACAAATAACGACCAATCAAAAACATACTTTTGACACATTAAATGTTAATTATGTGTCAACGTCAAATTTGACTCTTGATAGTTAAAAATATAATAAATTAACAATGACGTCGAATAATTAACACAGTAAGAAATGTCAATCAGTTAAGGCCTCAAATTGTGTTTCATCTCTGTCTGTTTGTATGCAACAAACAAGGACAAACGTACTTTTTTTTTTCTGGAAATTCATAGACTATTTTCAAGTGCCTAAAATCGACTAAAAAATTTATTTTTAAATATTACATAAAATTGCTGAAAATGACGTTATTTTAATTCAATATGGCGGCGTGGAAATAACACACCACGTTTACATTCAAATTGCAATCGATTTGAATTGAATGTAAAAGCACTAGTTTGTTATGCCCACGTCGCCATCTTGAATTATCAGCTTAATTGAAAACTATAAATTTCAAGAGCCGGGAATAGGAAAAAAAAATTGAATTTCCCGCTTCGAATAATAATATGACAAATGACGTTTGACTCTGTCAAGCTTGAGCAAAAATACAAATATTGGGTAAATAATTATTGTGACATATTACTTTGGCAGTTGGCAGTTGTGTCATCGAATAACTTTTTTTTTTGTTTTTTATCTCCAGTATATGACGTCACCAATTACTTTTCAAGTTTAAATTTTTCCATTGATACGTCAAAAATATAATAAACAAACAATGACAAATCGAAACAAAAATCAGACCATCAATCAAGATTGACATTTGTAATGAATGACAAATGACGTATGACATAAACTAATAAAAGTACCATCGAATTTGACGCTGGCAATGCCGAACGTCTTTTTTGAAATACAGTTAAAAAAAAATTGGTACTTCTTACGAATTCTTCGAGGCTAAATCTATATGTCCATGTAGGTTTTTTTTTAAATTTTGACAGCTGTCAATCTCAAAAAAAAATTCTTTTGTTTTTTCCAAAAAACAAAGGTTTAGAGTGAGATTTATGTAGCAACAGTTGGTACAAAAAATCCAATTTCCTGTCGGGTTTGGAATTCGAATTTTTCAATTTTCCCGGCTCCTGATTGGTTTGGGGATTCGAATTTTGTTTATTCTCTGATTAGCTTTAAAATAATCTATATCAGTTAACAATGAACGGATTCGACCAATAGAATTATAGACTCTGGCCCTTCGGGCTCGTGTATAACTCCGGCCCTTCGGGCCAGGTTCAATTTTTTGGGGGAGGTTTAGCCTCCCCTGCCTCCTCTGACGAGCCGCCACTGCCTTGCATCAAATTTTTTTATTCCTGATTTCGATAGTCCATGAAAAATAAGTCAACACGTGTTTTTTCTTTTTCTTCTTAGTCAAAAATTGACGGAGATACAACGCTATGAAATATGCCTATGACGTCACTTCTATATATATAAAAATCAAAGTTCTTGGGGTATCCGGATATGCGCTCCAAAACCACTTATCCGATTACGATGAAACTTTGGTAGGTTGTTATGGCCATCCCAAGGAAGGTTTGTGGACAGGTTACGCATCTCGGAAAAAGAAATTAATTTTGAATTAATTATTAATTTAATTGTAAACAAACTCATTCACATTACATAACAACATAACCCAACTTTTTTTGACAGCATAAACAACGTTGCCATATTTCATTTATTTAGGCTTGCATTCAACCGACGTAACTTTATTATTTTTTGAATTCGAGAACGGCTGGACCGATCTTGAATTAATACCACGTATCTCTATATAAGCTGAATTCGATTGACCCAGATTAGATCGATTTGGGTTCAATTTAAGTGAACTTCTTCTGATCTAGATCATTTTTTTGTTGATGAGGGTGCACTGATCCAGCTTCAATCGAACACAGTGTGGTTCACTTAAATTGAACCAGATCGATCTAATCCGGTCAATCGAATCGGCTATAGAGGAGAGTAGGCTATTTTTTATCCCGAAAAATAAGTTCGGTTGCGCAAAACTCTGATACACTGGAACGCCTATAAACAGCCCTTTAGAGCAGCTCTGGAGTGCTTAAAATGCGTCACTAAGCTCACTGGCAAGCGATTCTGATATCGGATTTAAAAAAAAAAAAATTAAATAGAAAATCAACAACAAAATTTGAAAAGAAGTGTACCTATTATTTCAAAATGTATTTACACGCTGGCAACGCAGCGGGTCATTAGCTAGTATCATATAAATTAGTGACGTTGCACATGCTCAGTATATCTATATATACAAAACTTAATATTTGTATAACTTCCGGAATAATCATATTTGGGCAAAACAAAAAAATGCGTATCGATTTTTTTTCAATTTCCTACAGTTTGCAATAAACAATAATCAATTTAATTTTTCATGCAAGTATCCTAGACAAAATACCTGATTTGGGAGTTATTTTCGATAGCCAAATGTCTTTGGTTCCTCACATAAATGCGCTATCATTCAGGGCATTCACTAGGCTGGGGTTTGTTTTGCGTAACTGTTCTGATTTTTCTGTTCCAACTGTACGTCATTTATATATTTCTTTGGTGAAAAGTATACTTATGTGTCTTCAGTCTGGACCCCTATTAATCAAATACATATAGACAGGCTTGAATGTGTTCAAAATAATTTTTTACGTTATTGTGGATTCAGTCTCCAAATTCCTAGAGATCAATGATCAATGGAGGTATGAAGATTTGCGAAAAATCCTATCTATTAATAGTCTCAAGTCTGATCGAATAATAATTTGAAAATAAAGTCGATTATTTATTTTTATTTATTTAATTTCTTGTGACCTTGGTACCATTTTCAAGTTAGTGTCTGGTGATACAGACTGTCCGGATCTACTCGAACAGATATGCTTCAAGGTTCCTTCACGGAATACTCGTAGTACCAATTTGTTTCACATTCCATATCGTTCTAGCAATTATACATGTAGGTAACAGCCCTTTATCTAGACTCTCTAAACTAGTAGATACTCACAATTTTGAGGTAACTGGAATTTCATTTCCACAGTTTCGCCATCAGTTCAATCCCGTTTTGTAATTCTCCAAAGGGGTGACGTTTTGGTGTCTTTTTGTAAGGGAACCTACATTGTACCTATCTCTAATGACTAATGTTAGGATTAACTTGTATAAATCACACCACTGATACTATATTGCAATCTTTTGCATTAGTGAGTTTTGTAAAATTTTGTTGATCTTGTTAGTTTTAATCTGGTTAATTTTTAATTCCGTTAGTGAATATATTAATTATAGTAGTAGTAATATTTTGTAATAGAGGGGTGAATAAATATATAAATAAATAAAATCTAACATGGTTCATTAGAGACGAACATCTGCAATGTGAAGATTTTGGTAAATCTTAAGGTAAAACTATAAGGTGTAATTAAGGTTTAGTAATAAAGCATAAATTTTATAATATTCGTGGTGGTATTCCTTCCCCCATACCCTCTTTTTTCAGATAAACCCAAAAGTGGACGCAGCCAAGTGTAGTAAAAGTGGTGAAAGGTGAAACCACTGACCACAGCCAACCTAAGCCTAACAATATTTCAGCCATAATTTGGAACAGAGTAAGACTATTTTCCTGTTTCAAATGCTCTTATAAATCTATAAAGATTTCTATTTACACTCAAGATATGTTTAAGTGGAAGCACTTCTTCACTAGAATTTCTTATCGATAGAAAGTAAAATCCAAAACATATATTTTCACTTATATTTATTTACCTAAATATAACGAGTACATATTTTATATTACAATCTTTTTCTTTAAAAACATTAATTTATTACAAGAGAAGGAAGTATGGATTAGAAAATGCTTACACAATTATACGCTGTCAAATTTTTTTCATTTTTTTTATTATTTATTTTGAAAAATCTGATGATGTCTTGTATAAAAAATATTAATTATGGGGCTGCCACATATCCCTTCACATTATTCAAAAAAAAAATCACAAGGTGAGCTAGAAAAAAAAAAAATACTCATATTGAATTAAAGAGACACATTATCATCTATAATTTTTATATTATAGTTTTTTCTACATACTCTGGAAGAACGAAATTGAAATTCTATTTTATGTTGTATTCAATCAATATAACCGAAAAAAAATATTGTTTTTTCCTAAGAAACACTTAACTTGCATATATTATTTTGGAAGAAAAAATATATTATAAACAAAATAAATAATTATCAAATAGGAAACTGAGAGTAAGGCTAATAGAAAAAAATAGATCGAGAACAAAAGAAGGCAATAATTCTAGAACTTGGTTTTTACTTTTTCAAAAACATGAAATTTTGTAATTTCAAAATTTATATTCTTAATAAATTATACATGGTGTTGATGCTCTATTGAGAGTATTTTGTTGGCTTTTCAAGCCTCTGGTTAAATTTACAAAAATAACATAGTTATATAAACTCAATCTACAAAGTTGTATGATGTATGTATCTTGTTTTGCACATAATTTTAAATATTTATTGTATCCAAAAATTCCTAATTTAAGTTATGAGATACATAGGTAGGTACTTTTTTGCACTTCCAAAATATCTATTTTTTTTTCACCATGTAGATTTGACGTTTCATATTTTTACTGAAAATTGACCAAAATATACAGATAGGCTAAATTAAATAAAATGTCAACAAAATTTCCGATTGGCATAGTTTTCTAGACTCCGCTATTGCTGGGTGAGATAATTTAAATATAATACAACTAAGTTCATCACCCATTGAGATATTTATTTTTCTATATAAAAAAAAAACATCATTCAATTCAATATTTATTACTTATATTTATAAATTTTAATGGGAATCCTGTTGGAAAAATACCAGTAACCATCAACTATCAATAAATCAACCAAAGACTCTAACACTAAAAACATTTATTTATTAATGAGACCAAAATTTGATGTCTTTCGTCTGGTGATTATAGATTTAACCATAGGATCACTAGGCAAAAGACAAAGTAGTCTCATTATTAAACACATTGACTGTGGTGTTTATAAAAAAATAAAACAAGAAAACTAATTAAATACTTTCATCTCTTATCAAGTCAAATTTTCCTTTCAATAGAGAAATAAAAATAAAATGAACTTTGATCGTTGGCCTTTATACAAAAATATAATTTGTTTTATGGACTAGGTTTGTTAAATCTCTTAACAATAGACACTCATCACATTTTAATAAGAAACAAATCAAAGGAGGTTCTAGAAACGAGAAAATTTTGTTGACATTAAAAATAAAATCCTTTTTTTTTTATATGTACATCTTCTAAGTCACTCCATTGACAATAAATTTCTACTCACACATTTTTCGAAATAATAATATAGACACTATTTTTATCTACCGCTAGATACTATGACTTAGCCTAAAACAATTCACAAAGTTTTCTAGGTATGTTTTTAGGTTAGTTTTGCCTTGGATTTTTTTGCTGTCTATTTTTCGTAACTATAAACACCAAGTAACTTGTTTTATTTAGAAATTGTTGTCCTTCCTATTGTTCCGATTTTGACCGACCTAAACAAAAATAATTTGTTACAGTTGTAATTATTTTAGGGATGTGAATCGTATTTACCACACTGGCAGACATAAACGAATGTGTTCCTCTGGGAACTGGACTGGAGCACTACGACAAACGGGGTCTTTTACTGGAGTTCTCTCCTCCGCCTGTGTCTACCGTCGTTTCCTCTTCTTCGTCTGAGTCACCGCCTTCGTAATCCACCAAACCCTACAGAAAAGTCGTATTTATTAAAACATCAAAAAATATTATCTTGTAAGATAGGCGTTTCTTTGGTTAGTCAGGGTTAATTTCAAGTTTACATAAATTCTCTACCTAAATTGAATATAAATATTACTATGCTAACTTTTGTTTCGATTCATTTTTCTTACAACACGGTTGGGCATGATGGGGATCCAAAATTTCAACATCTTGTAAGTAAGTTTTCTATAATTTGTATCTATTACAGTTTTTAAGATTCCCATACTGGACTTCCTGATATAAGGACGTTTCAAAAATGGCGTTACAAACGTGTTTCAGGGCAGATAATAATCATCACAATTAGAAAAGATGTTCCTATTATGAATCCCGAACGCTTTGTGTGCTTTGGTATAAAAGGTAGAAATTTCAAGTGTTTTGCACAGTAATTCCAGAGTGTTTTCACTAAATTCGGCCTTACATATAATAGAACAACACTTCTAGTTGCATCCTATTTCAGAACAGAAATCAACACCATAAAGTTCATCCCAAAAAAAATAGAAATCGCCATCAAGTCCCTAAGGTTGACAGCCCAGGACTTGATGAGATCATTCCTATATTTCTTAAAAATTATTTGCACACTATAAAGGGGTCTCTGGCAGCACTTATAAGTGATATAATATCCACAGGAGATTTTCCATAACATTGAAAAAAGCAGTTGTTATACCTATATTCAAAAAGGATACCAAAAAGCTAGTAGAAAACTACAGACCAGTCAGCCTGACCAACGCATTTATCGCTAAGGAACTCGCAAGCCTTTTCCCCAAAGCTCATATTGTACCAACCCAACAACATGGTTCTCCCCCTAAAAAAAATCTACTTTTACGAACCTCCTAACAGAGAATGATCTAATTAATGTAGTTTTCCTTGACTTTGAAAAAGCATTTGATAAGATATCAACAATATACTTATTATACAAGCTATATCATTCTGGAGTCAGAGGCGATTTATTGCGACTTCTTGAGAAACTCCTTACTGGATATACTTTTCAAGTTAGGACAGGAATATCATTATCAATGGAATACTATGTACACAGCAGCGTACCACAAAGCTCAGTCTTGGGCGTATTTGTGTAACTTATACCAAAAACTGAATGCCAAATATGAATCATTTGCAGATGACACAAGCCTATCCTGCAATCCACTACTACATGTTGCAGACCTCCAGGAAGAACTGTAAAACATCAAAAAGTAGACAATGTTTAGGAACTAACCTAAGAGTAGCATGCTGGTGAGCAGAAGGTTTTTTGATGTTTCTATGACCGGTCTTCTCTCGGAAGTGTACCTTAGTTTCTTATGAATAAAGTTGTGGTGATTCTACTAACTATAAAGTGTTTATGTTATAGAACCCGCTAACATTACATGGTAGCAGTGCGGGTATTTTCTAAGTGAAGCTTCGATGACTTTATATGAGTCTTGGCGAAATAAAAAATAAACTGTTACCTACTTATTGAAATCACATAAAAAAAAAAACTCATCATCATGTCCTCATCAGACTCTGAAGAGAATCCATTCGTACCAGCGTCGTCTGAAGGTACCTGGCAAGTATATAATAACTTTAAAATAGTGATTCCAATAAATGTTAATCATCCAGAGAAATTTTGTTTTCCTCCACCAGCCTGCATGGCCAGCATGGCAGATAAGATTCGAAAGATTTATGTCAGTGTCAGGAAAAATAGGCAAGTCTGAAAAAGAGACTATAGATATTCTCACACATATCATGGGTATAGAAGCCGAGGAAGTGATGGTTAAATTTCATAATGTTCCTGGTACATACGATGAAGCTTTAAACAGTTTCGAAAGCTACTTTATACCTAGAAGGAATGTAATCTTCGAAAGGTTTAAAGTTCACTTCCAGGTTTCAGAAACCTGAAGAATCGGTGGACTTTTTCATCACAAATTTGCATTCACTGGCTGAGTATTTTGATTACGGCAATATCAAAGACAAAGATGATCTTATCAGGAATAGAATCGTAGTAGGGATGCTTGATTCTAAAACTTCGGAAAGGCTCCAACTAAAAGATAAATTACAAGAGTGTGTTTTACAGGCAAAACAAGCTGACTTGCAAGCCAATCAGAATAAAAAGGTGCAGGGCAGCCAACGTCACATTAATAAAAGAGTGAAGGCAGAAATAGGTATAGCAACAGAATCATCTCTCTCATGTTGAGTGAGAAAGACAATCTTCCCATTCTACAAAGTGCGGATTTTGTGGTTTACAACCAAACCATGTGTCAGAGATCAGTACCCAGCTAATAAATCTACATGTAAGACAATGCCAGACGAAGGGTCATTGGACAGTGGTCTGCCAAAAAACCAAGGTGTGATCCATCCAGTTAAATAATTTATCTGAGTTAGAGGCCGAGTATAACAGTTTGGATATTGAGGATTCAGAAATTGTAGAGGACACCTACCTGGGGTCTATCAAGTCAATTATGTTGATTCTAAGGAATGGGTGCCACAATTTTTGTATCAGAAATAAATTAAAATTTAAATTTTCTAGTAGATACAGGTGCAAATAGCTCATGCATGCCTAAAGAATTAGTTAATTTTAGTTTACGTAAACAAATTAAATTGACTGATAGAATAGTTACTCGGCCGTCTGGGATTAAATTGAAGCTGCTAGGAACAATATCTGTGGTTTTAAATTATCAAAATCAGAGTTTTGGAACAGAGCCTTATGTCATTGATAGGCTGACTAAATCTATTTTAGGTATAACCGCAATGTCCGCAAATAAAGAACTGGACCCCGCACATTTCTTATGGAAAAGTGATCTATGTGGAATTTTGCTGAATTTTTGATATTGTGTAGAGGGAGTCCTGCTTAACAAAATTTATCATTGCGCTAATGTTTAATAGCGAACAGTTTTTGAGATATCAATTAAAAACTTTTTTAATATAATACTCTTCAGTATGACGTCACCTATAGGCTCACAGCACCGAAAATGATTACTATCCTTTCCACTTTTGCTTTGACTATACTCTTCTCCTTTTAACATTAAGAAATAGAAAAAGATAGCCATAGCGATTAGTGACAAATGAGTAGGTAAACAAGTGTATTGTGTATTATCCTGGATGGGTAAACAACACCTAGCTCCTGCCCTGCCGCAATCGTCAATGTCATGTCATGTCATTCATATAGCGATTTCATTTGTACCTGTTGTTGTTTTTTTTTTTTCTTATGTTGAAACGAGAAGAGTATAGTCAAAGTCGCAAGTGGAAAGGATAATAAATATTTTCGGTGCTGCGAGCATATTGGTGACGTCATACTTAAGAGTATTATATTAAAAAAGTTTTTAATTGATATCTTAAAAACTGTTCGGTATTAAACATCAGCGCAATGTTAACTTTTGTTAAGGACGACTGCCTCTACACAATATCAAAAATTCAGCCAAATTCCACATAGATCACTTTTCCATAAGAAATGTGCGGGGTCCTATAATCAGGTGGCCCCTATAAAACTTATGACTCTGTAAAGAACCACATCATTATAAAATATCAGGCGCGGCTCGTGAGTTTTTTTACAGGTGAGTCAAATTGAGAGGGACAGCGCCGCAGGCTAAAATAGTGCAGTAGGCGAAAAATTTTTGGTATTAAACTAAATTTTTTGGCTTTAGTTTTTGTCTTTTTGTAAGAATTTAAATTTGAATATTTGAATTTCGCGCTCATTTATGGTCATTTTGAAATTTGACAATTGATGACGTAGACGTGGGTAGCAAATTATTTCTCGCCTTGACGTAGGCTAATTAAACAGCTGATGACGTCGGCAATGGTTGCACACCAATATGGCGACGATTACCAAGAAAGAGGCCGATGAGCACTCCTTAGCGTGTGTATTTTCCTTGGGGTTAGTTAGCGGAGGAGAGGTGTAATATCCTTGCTCCTAAATTCAGGTTGTTTCTTTATGTCTTACGTCAAGTAGAAAACACAGGTTAGAAACCTTTTTAGAATTCGTGCAATAAGTTAGTAAATATTTAATTAATAAAGAAAATACAAAAACAATTTAGTTGATTAGACCCATCCCTACATTTTTAATAGAAAAAATAACTTACTTTGGGTGGGTCTAATGTTTATTGTTAAAGTCGACCGAGTCCCAAATTTAGACACATTTGAACAACAAATCATTTTTCCTATCCTTCTGATGAGCAAAGTGGTCAATGACTAGTTCATTGAAGTTCCCAATTTTTTTGATAAATGCCTTCTCAATACTGAGCATAGCCAATGTACTCAACCTAGACTGCTCTCTCGTAGTTTGGCATAAATCAAGCTTTGGTTTTGGACGACCACTTTTCTTTAATTCCAACCGTTTTTCAAAAGTCAATCCCCCACTGGAAATTAAAGAAATTATTTCCTGAACAAGGGAACCCATTTTTGTGAAGCGATAAAAGGAAGATTCAGGACAGATTACTCAAAAAATTAAATCAAAACAAAAACAATGTGCACAATGACAATTCAGTAATTGTTTTAAGAAAAATAACTCTGGACAGTTGGACACCCTAACACTCTAGGCCTAATGTGTATCATCTTTCTTCAATAAACGCGATTGAAAAACGACAATAAAATCTTCGAATTCTGAGCGCTCTTGTTCCATTCCGATAAATACCTATATCGATCGATCGAGGATCTGGCGCCGCTGCCGGCCGTCGACGTGATGGAACATATGGAAGCAAATGTGCCTCTTTATCTTACTCATTTACCCCCTTAATGTCTCTCTCTCTAATTCCTATTGCATTCGCCTATGATCATTTCAAAGCTATAAGCCCAATTTTAATTACGGCCGAGCGCAGTTCGGCCTGTATTTTGTAATTTTAAAAGGCGGGTACCCAATATGCGCAATATAATTCGATTTCTGTATTCTGTTGAGCGTGATGTTGGGTAATTTAAAACGTAATATTCAAGATGTTTAATTGAAAATTTATTGTTTGATTTTTTGGTGGGTCATTGACCGAATGACCTTACAGAGGAGCCGCGCCTGT